ATGCAAATAAGTCCTCCTTTGGCAATCTAGTAGTCACAGCTCAATGACATTTGTGTTTTATAATGCAGGGTGCTCTTAATATTTAAACATCATCGTTACATGTCGCACACAGCAGAGGGTGGTTACTTGATGGTTATTTTTAGGCTCAGCTAGTTACTTTTCAACACTGTTAGCTAAGCCATTTCTGTTTGGGTTTATGAGGAACCTTGCAGTTCCTAGAAGCCCCTGGTAAAGCCCACCTTGTGGTTTATTTGGTGGGCGAAGGAAGTTTGATACTTGAGTTTAGTGTGTGTGTGTGTGTGTGTGTGTGTGTGTGTGTGTGTGTAATGAAACGCATGCCTGGGGAAACCACCAGAGAGGAGGATGAGAAAATCCTGCACATGAACTCTTGGAAAGGATTGCACCATAACGGCCAATGCTGTGGCATTTAATCTCCTCTGACTGCCCTCTAACTGTGCATGCATCAGTCAGTATTTTAACAGCTCCACAGACAAATGGGCTTAAATGCCCCCTTCTACATAAAGCAGAAGTTGAAGTCTCCCCCTGAACCTCCTGCCTGCCTGTCTTTCTCCTCTTGTCGATATGGTCAGTGGTGTAGGTTTTCGGAGCACTTACTCCAACCCCATCACTCATGTAATTAGATCAGGCTGCCATGGCAACAGGCAGTGTTCCTCCTCCATTCAGGTGGGTTTGTTTTGTGCCTGGACTATTCCAAGTGTTTTATGCACAGTATTTGTGCTGCCCAAGCCAGACGAGAGGGACTTCACTATTTCAATTGCGCCTTCATTTGGACGGGAGACACTGAATGAGTCTTATCCATACTCTTATAAAGGAGACCAACAAGCTGTTCTTACTGGGTGCAGTATGTAAATGCCTCTCCCAGACAGTGAAAGGAGCCCGACAATCCTGCTGGTGTTTATTGTGAACAGTTCAACAAGTATTTGGTACTTGTTAGAAACCTTTCAGAGCTGACTAAAGCAACATTTCTTTTGCCTTCTGGTGCCATTGGCCTTGCAGGCATTAACCCTTTCAAGGGCGGAAGTGCTCATTTTTTAGAACCTAAGTTACAGTAGTCATGACTGGTTTTCTAAAGGGTTTACTCAGTGGAAGTAATTTATTTGGGAAAGTTATCCCCATTGTCACATTTTAAAACTTTACAGCCGTCATAATAGCAAAAAATGGGACTGACCGTAGGCAGCCATTCTGAATGTATTGAAGTGCTTCATTTGGATCTTTTGGCCATGATCTTTAATCTGTGGTAGTAAGTGAAAAGGTTTGTGTCTCAGGAAAGAGATCATGCAGGCCTGTAGCTGGTCGACTGATAATGTGTGGTGCTTTTGCACAATAAACAACTTCTGCTCTATTTTGGGCTATAATTTAATGAGCATTTAATAATTTAGAGAGCAGCAGTCCACTCTTTGTATTAGGGCACCACCTTATTAAACCTGTTAAGCAAAGACAAGTAATACTGTTACAAAAAGAAAAGAAAATTAGCTTTGGTTGTGGAATCTCTGTGTTGCTCGGGCAATCCAAATAAAGGGAAGTATTTTAGTAACCTTGATATTTGAAAGTAAAAATAATTGAAATCACGCCTTGATTTAGTTGTGACCCTGCCACCGGTCCCCAAGCTAAATTGGTAAATCCTTTTCCCCTTGGGGCCAAGGGTGGGGTGTGAGGTTACCAGTTTCTAGTAGTGAGTTTATGTGTTTGGTAACTAGATTGTGGCCTACTCAATTGCAGTGGTTAAAACGAGGAGCTACTGTTATTCCTAGGAGGTAAACAGATGGGATGCAAGAATATAAAATAAGGTACAGAAGTGTAAGTTTTACCCAACACCTTGGAGGTCCTGGATGATATTTTGCGACTTACAGAAAATCGTTTTTACTTGCCCTAAAGTGTGAACATGTATTTTTGAATGCATAAATTCATGCTAAAGTAAGGATGAGAAATGTACCTGATTGGGAACTGTGAAAAGTTAATATTTTTCTCTCTGGATTTCGTTTTAAGAGGGTTTGGTAAACAGAAGTGATGCTTTATCAGAAATATTATAAATTGGCTTCAGGGCTTCTGAATTGTCTTTTACTAGAGAAAGGTTCAAGAAAAACTCTTTAGCCCTGGGATTATACATCAAATGCCTGTAGATGGCCCTGTGTTTCAATATACCTTCCTCAGTTGTTTGGGAGTCCTGGGAAAGGTCAGCCTGAAGAGATTATTAAAATGTTAGTGAACATATTTCTGTGACTCCTGTTTTTGTTGTCATTACAGAGTTTAAGGACTCACATTCCTTTTGTATAATGTGCCTTTATTTTTTTTTCCATTCTGAAATGTCAAGTGGATTTTACTTTGGCACTTAACTTCAATGACAGTCTGATGACTAACATATTGTGACACCAGCTCCCTATGTTTCCTCATAGAAGTTAGTCAATAAATATATCTTACTAAACTAGGTAAATATAGGAGTGAATGTTAATTCTTTAAATTACAGTTGTTTGAAAGTAATAACATAGTTTAGGTTCTGGAGAGCTTAAATACCTGCATACATAAACTGACATAGTGCCATAAGACAGAATATAATTTTTAGAGGTGAGAGAGATAATTTTGATTCTGTTGCTTTATGTTTTCAGAATAATTCAATGATTTGAATGGTTGGCTTCTGTGAGAGATTTAGGTATGTGCAGTTTAATTGCTTCAAAGAACAGATTTAGTACAGGTCATACTTTCAGTTATCAGAAGCAGCCCTCCTTATTTTGTTAAAAGCATTGAAAATAATAAATCATCTAAAAATCCCAATAGAGAAGTAATTTCTGTTCTAAGGCATTACATATAGGACTGCCCTTTTTTTTCTTCTTAAGAATGAGGTTGGAAAACAATAGAAATTATGCTGTTCAAATTTTAGATTCATTAAATTCAGTTTAATAAAATACTCATTCAAAAATTCTTTAAGAGAGGATATAATGATGAGTATACTGAGTGCTAGTTTTAGAGACTATTTTTAAATGTTGGCTGAAAGAGTTGTAATTGGATATATACATATATATATGCTTAAATATTCTATAATTTTAATATATGCTTAAAATTATAGGAGCAATAAAAAGATTTAGGTATTCCTGGTGGGTCTCTCGGTTGGTTAGCATGTTGTCCCTATATATCAAGGTTGCAGGTTTGATGCCCAGTCAGGGAACATACAAGAATCAACCAATGAGTGATAAATAAGTGGAACAACAAGCCGATGGTCCTCCTCTCTCTCTTTCTCTCCCTTCCTCTTTATCTAAAATCAATCAATAAAAATTAAAAAATGATTTAGCAAATAATTGTTATTTGTGAAAACAGTTCTTTAAAACCCTTTTTTATTTCATAATTTATATATTTTTGTCTTTTACCACTGTATATATTTTATAATCCTTATAAATCTGAACTTTTCAAGTTAATGTACAATAAATATTTGTACTATATATTACCATTACTAATATGCTAAAACATGTTTAGAAATGTTACAGGCAAAAAAGCAATGAGCATTATATTTTCTTTGACATGTTTGATGTTAGCAGAAATGTTTCATTGATTTTTCTATAACTTTTAATGCATCCAATTTGTGGAGTAATGAAAATGCAATGATAATTGCCATAATGTAAGCAAAAATTGTATCCTACCTGAAAATTACTGTTCAGAAAATTCATTGTAGTGTAATCAGAGGTTGAGACTTAAGGGGCCAGAGGCTCTCCTGATTGTGGTCTTTTGATTCAGGCCAAGAGGAACTCTTTTTTTTTTTTTTTTTCTACTTAGGTGCTCTTTAACATGACATGTTTTGAGGGAGTCATTTAGCAGAAGTTTTTAATGATAATTGACACTGCTACTGACCCAGAAGCATTTATGCTTCTAGCATTCAAAGAAAGTGTATTTTTTGTCACTGTATATGGTAGTTTTTCTTTTATTGCACCCTGAGCTTTGGCCCACTCTCTCCGAAGTATTTATAGTATCTCCCGTGTTTACATTATTTACCTATTATCTCCTCTTTATTGACCAACGCATAAATATTATTTAGGCCACCTTTCTTACTAATCTTCCACTATTGGTGGTATTGTGTTAGGTTGCTCTGCTTTTAAAATATTAAATATTCCATGTTTCGTGTATATATTGTATAAAATAGTTAATAGGTTATTTTCTTTTATATTGCTTGTATTATTTTACTATGAATCCATTCATTCTTGCTCTTGTGTATTCTTGTGTTTCTTTCCTTTAAAAGAATACAGCAAGTTATGTTAACTTTCTTAATTACTTTAACTGATGTAGCAATACAAATAATACAAATATTTTTTAAATAAGTAGGCATACCAATGAGAAAGTAAATTAATATTTTACAGCATTTGCATCATGTTTGACTGTTCTCTGCATTTCAGCAGAATAGGAGGAGACTGTAATTTGGACTCTATAAAACCTTATCTGTCAGGTGATATGTAAATGGGGTTGTGTGCACACACATTGATATATACAGGCAAACGCCCTCACAATTGTTAGCTCAGAAAGCAAGTGCTGCCTGCGAGTCTGCGGTACCTGCACCTTGTTCGAAAGTGATTATTCAGTGTTCTGATGCTTCATTTGATGTTACTAGATCAAATCAAGACTCCTCCCCTTAAAACAATTACTGTATAAGAGTAAATAGAATTTTGTGAGCATCTATTTAATTTGGCCACTATTTACATTTGTAACCCAACAAGCTTTTTAGTAGAGGGATAGTGTCTTCAAAGACGTTTTAGTCTGGTACAGTCTACCTTCTTTTTCAGTACTCACAGATTACACCTGGTTAAAACCAAGGCCTGGAAATGGAACTTCTTTTGATTATAAGTCCCCGGCATGCAATAATAGATGCTTAAATAAATACTTGGTGAATGGATTAGTTAGAAGTAAGAATATTTTGGCTACTATTCATTACTTTGAAAAGTGTTGGAAAGCTGCTGAAATTATTTTCCTTTCCAGCTGGGTTGTGCTCTTAAAAATAGTGAGTGTGTATGGATGAAAATAATCATGACTACTGAGATGTGTTGCCATGTACCCAAGGATAGTTGGCTCACTACCTGTTTACAGATTATTCACATTGGAGATCATATTCATAGCTCCAGAATAGTTTCTTTCTGACTCCCAATATAATCCTGGGCTTTCTCCTTCCTACTGTTACCTGGCATGGGCTTAGGAAGCCCAAACTAAATTTAAAATCAGCCTAAACAAATGTGCAGATCAGTTCCAGTAATCAAAGACTGGAAATCAGTCCAGCGATGACTAGTTTGGGAATATTTAATAATAACTGTGCTACTGATTCTGTAATGTGGAATTACCAGTATCTAAACATATTATTTTAATAGATGGGGCTGGAAACTGTTAGCAGATCAAGTCCTCAACTTCTTCCATTTCTATGCATAGGTCTTTACCTCACAAAAACTACAAGCACCAAGCTCCCTGATGGAAAGGTATATGGAAGATTCATTCATCCCCTTTTTCATTCGTCCATTCACACATTCATTATACATAAGAAAAAGTTTTACTTTACCACGTGCAAGGCATTATGGCAAAATGAAAATGAAATAGACATACATTTAATAATGAAATGCTTTAAAATTTAGTGGAAAGTCTAGTGACTATGTGTATTCTTTTAAAATTTTTTTCTGCCTGTGTTACATTCTTCTATCCCATTAGATTGGTATGCTAATAACTGTGCTTTTTTTAATGGTTGTCCCTTATTTTGCATGTTGATAGTAATATATGCCACATTAAAATTAGACTTTGGCTCAATTATTATTCAATCCATATTCATTGTCACCTGATATTGTTGTGATTACCAGCATGTGTTGATCGGATGATTGGTTAGAATCATTAGAGAAAAGAATGACAGTAGTTGGCTCAAATGGGGAGACCGAGCTCTTAATTTGATTGAGGGGATGACCTTTTTGTGTGTTGGCCTCCCTCCGAGGCCCCGTTGAGTAAAACCAGACCTGCCTTTTGAGCTGGCTGGTATATGTGTGATTCTCCTGAAATAAAATGCAAAATTTGGTGTTCTTAAGAGCAAAGATTTCAGTGCATTGACACTTAAGTGGGATTACTTTTTAAAACAATTTGTTCTGTTTTTCATTTTGATTTCCTCTTCTGCGCTTCCTGGACCATTGCAGGAGCACCGTGCAGCAAGTCACCAAGGTGGTCCATTCAAACTGCAGACTCGTTTGTCATCCTTGTACAGCAGTCTCCTCCTCCACAGCCACTACAGAGAAGTGCGTCACATATCAGGTGAGAGTTTTGTGATGCTTGCTAGCTCCCATCTGAAGATAAAGTCTGGCCTGGAAAAATCGCCTACTAGCTATCCATTAACACTTTGTGGACTGTTTAATATAATTGTCTTTGCAAACGTATTGTGTTGGAAATAGAGAGATTGCCAAGAGAGTTTTTTATAAAAGTTGGGTTAAAGTATCTCTCTTTTTGGTTTCATTTTATTTGGCTAATGAAGAAGTTAGCATTTGATTTTGTGATGATTGACCATTGTGTGTTGGGCTCGAGTCCGATCATTTTAATTGTCACTTTTACTTAATGCAATGAGAATGCACAGTTTTCATGGTTTAGTTTTTTGTTGAAGAGTGCCACGTGTGCAAGAGGCCTCTTTGTTCAGTGGCAACCAGTATTTGTTGAATCTTGAATTTCTCTGTCTCTGTCTGGATTTTACAACTTCCTGATTTCCTCACGTACAGTAAATTTTTCTGGCGTGGAAAGTCATGCAGACACCGGGTGTATGCAGGGTTGATGACTCACGCTTTTCGGTTGAAGAGAGGACAAGAGAATACTGCCTAAAGGGAGTCAGGAGAGATGGAAGTTAGGCACAAGTTGGGGCACTAAGGGTTTGGGAACACTGGTGTACGCAACCAAAGGCAATTGTGAAATAGATTCCCTGTTTCTATTTGCCTTGGGAGCAGTCCTGCTGGAAGCTGTGGAAATAGACTAGTTCAGAGGTTCCTAAGCCTGGCTGGACAACAGAATCACCTGGGAGCTTAAAAAATAGAATTTGGAACTCAACCCTAGACCTATTGAATCGAAATGAACCTTCATGGTCTCTTGGAATCAGACTGAGGCTCCTCAGGCTTGGGAACTGCTGGGATGGGTGGTCTCCAGGCAGCTCTTCCTGAGAACTGTTCTACTTCCTTCCTTGGTGAGATGGAAAGTCTACCTTCCATCAAGCTTCACAAATAAAAATATGGATTTTCAACTAATTTGTTACAAGATGGACATTTGCTTTACTAAAATGTTCATCTTGAAAATGATTCTTCAGCTTTCTTTAAATAAAGAGCTCCCGCTCTTTATCTAAGATCCAGCTTTTAAGTTACATGTAAATTCTGTGGCATCTGAGGTAAGAGCATGGGGCTCTGGGACCAGCCTGTCTGGCTTTACATCTAGAGTAGCCACTGTGACCTTGGGCCATTCTTTAACCTTTTGATGCCTCAGTGTCTTTGTCTTAAAAATGGAGATAATATTAGAACTTTATCCTAGGGCTGCTGTGAGGATGGAGTGAAATAATATACATATATAGGGTAGGATAATGCCTGGCATATATGGTTTCTGATCCACGAACATCAAGTAACTTATGTCTTGACAGGGTAATTCTGATATTCTTGTATTGTGATGGTTGCTCCTGGACCATATATGACTAGGAACAAGTAAACATACCTATACCTTGGTCTTTGGACCAACCCTGTAGACATTTGTAGCTCTGCACAACAAATGAGACTTACTTGTTTTTCTGAATTTTGTGTTCATCCAACTCTCTTACTGGGATAGGATTCTCATGTATTGTTTTTATATTGTTGTAAGATGAACTGATGAGTTGTATGCACATGATAAGTTATTTGTGATTTGAGTAAAAACAAGCAAAACCTTGAGTGACTGAAGTACTATGTCCCAGAAAGGATAGTCAGAGAAGTCTGTTGGGAGGGGAGCAGAGGAGGGAGGAAGTTATCACATTATATCCTTGTAGAGTTTGGAACTAGGTACTTGACATTTTATTGGCTGTGGATTAGGGAGATGGTCTGTGAAAGGAAATAGGATCACCCTGCAGTTACATGCAAAGGTAAGCTGCTTTTGTTGTTGTTAATCCTCACCCAAGGATATTTTTCCATTGATTTTTAGAGAGTAGAAGGGAGGGGGAGAAACAGAGAAACATCCTTTGGTTGCCTCCGCATGCACCCAGACCAGGGTGGGGGATGAGCCTGTAACTGAGGTATGTGCCCTTGACCAGAATTGAACTCGGGACCCTTCAGTCTGGGGGTTAATGCTCTATCCACTGAGCAAAACTGGCTAGGGCCAAAGATAAACTTCTTAAGGTCTCTGTCACCTGAATAAAAAATGGTGACATGCCTCACTGTTACTTTATCTCTTAGGGATGTTCCCCATTTTTACAATTATATGCTAGGCAGAAAATCCTCACATTTAAGCTTTTTAAGGAAGTAGTTTAATTGAATATGTGGTTAATACATGTGCAATTTTTAAAAAACTTGTGTTTAAAATAATTTTATTGTGAAAATTCAGGCATCAGAAAGTCATATCTCTTGGCCAATATGTGCAAACTTATTGAGATGATACTGAAGTTTTTACATTATATTAAGCAAGTCTACCAGTAAGTGTCTTACAAATATTTGTATTGTATTACCGACAAAGTAGTGCAGAGTCACCTTGAATCCCAAGCAACTGACATTTTCGGCGATTGCATTTAAAGTAAGCTAATAAAGCATTATTTAAACATTTGCATAAATAATGTCCTCCGTAGAGTTCTCACAATTGATGGCTAAATGTGGGCAGGGAAATCATGTCATTCATGTTGTATTCTGTTATATTCATTAAAGTTTTTCTAAAAACCTAAATTACAATATCCCTGGTTCTAGTTATTTTGCAAATAAGATATGGTTATAGGAAAGTTATGGCATAACTTGTTCACAGGCACTTTCTCTATTAAGAAATGATTCATTCATGTATTCATTGTGTATTTTTTTAAACTACTACACGGTACTGTGGGTATGAAAGTGAGTAACAACCACCCAAAAGAGGTTATACTCTATGTGTTCTTTGTGGTCAGGTAGGTGAAAGAAGAAATGCTTGGAAAAAACTAAGACAAAGCAGAATGGGGTGGTTGTACTTCTTGGGGTACGTTCTAACACAGAAGGAATTCAGAAGAATGATGCTGAGTAGGATGACGAGGAAAGACTGAGGAGGAGGGATCATTTGAGTTCAGCTCTGAAGGCTGGCTAGCATTTCTGTGGGTAGAGATGGATAGAGCTGGAGGAAGACCATTGAAGTGGCTGGGATATGACAGGGAGTGCACGGTGTGTAACTGACAAGGCCCCTTTGGCTGAAGCACAGGTGCTGGTGGACATCTGAGTTGCTGGAGCCCAGCAGACAGTACAGGGTGTGGGAATAAAATTGCTGACAGGTCAGGTCTGGAGATAAATTTGGAGGAGTCGTTGGCATGAAAGTGATCTTGGAAATTGGGCTTTGGGTTTTGTGTGTGGCAGAAGGTTTGACAGGCAGAAGGGGATGACTATACCTCAGGGGTGACATCAGCTGGTGCAGAATATGTAGAGAGAAGGTAAGAGGCATGGAAGAGAAGCTGGAATGTTGGAGTGGCACAGCCTTTGTATGCTTCCTCTTTAAGACCTGGGGTGGAGGGTGGGTGGGTGGAGAAGTGGGGATGGTGCATGGGTGGGTAATGGGGGGTCTGCCCTGGAAGCTCAGGCACTTTGGAGTCTCAGCTCAATGAAATCTTGTTGAAACCTTTATTCCTTTAAGACATTTAAAAAAGAAAGGAACATGAGCTAATTTTAGCTAAACCTAATACGTGTGTGTATGAAAATGAATGTTGCTTTTGAAATTCCGTGCATGCATTATCTGTTGTCATTTAAACAAACCATCCTTCTGTTTTCCTCTAAACAGTTATATTAAGAAGCTTTTCAGTGAGGCCCTGTACATAGTAACAACAATTCCAGCATTTCCTTTGATCTTTCCCACTGTTGATTTATTCATTTCACGTGATATGCGTAAATCACATTGTGCCACCTACTTGACTCTGGAGCAATTGTTCATTTTTGTGGCAATTCATTTACTGTACTTAGATAAATCACATTAATATGGATGTGTTTTATAACTTTAGAGGCTTTTCCGAAGGCTTTATATGGACTTTTTTAAAATGTGACACACACACACACACACACACACACACAGAAAGCACAGCTTTCTGAAGTTTGGCTTCCCATTTATATTTATAGAAAAAAAGTAGGATTAGTGAGCCTTGACTTTGGAGTGGGTGAAAAATTCTTGGCTCAAAATGACAGGGAAAGCTGGAAATTATCTGGTTACACTGCTGTTAATGGGCAGTCTCTTTTAATATAGTTAAAGAAAATTTGAATATTATTTGTTTTGTTTTGTTTTTTACATTAGTTTTAGATGGGCTGTTTGTATTCCCCTAAAGAGCTCAGAATGAGGCAATGACTTACCTACCTTTCACAAAAGACAGGAAAGTTAGGATGGGGGTGAGAGGAATGGAAAACACAACTCCAGGGGCAGGTCACTCTGCAGATATTTATAAGCATCTACTGTGTGAGAAGCTTTATGCCAGTTGGGCCCCAAAAGAAATTTAGAGATGATCAGTAGTTCTCACTGTGTATTAACTCATTTAATCCTCATTGTGGTCTTCTAAGGTAGACACTATTATTATCTCCATTTCATGGATGGGGAAACTGAGGCACGGAGACAATAAGTGTCTTGGTCAAGGTTGACCAGCTCTAGTGGTAGCATCTTTACTGATGCCATGCATTGTCTCTCAAGGCCTAAGCCCGGTCCATAAGAAGCTTACAGTTGAGCCCAGAAGGCAAGGTATGCCCAGGAATAATATTTAAACAATTACAAGAGAGGAACAGCATACTCTCAGAGGCCAGGATCAGGGAAAGGCTCATGGGCAATGAACCTTCTTTTTTAATGCTTGCCTGTCCATTCCGAGCCGCGTATGGGCTGTCTTTGTGGTGTTTTCTTTCACTCTTTCTCATATTCCTACACATTTTCAATAATTATTAATTGCAGAAAATGATGACAGTGGCAATATGCTTATCTGTGTTTGGGCTCTAAATGTTGTTTGACATCAAGAGTCCCTGTGAGACGATGAACTTTTGACTCTTCAAAGAACTTCACTGGGTCATTGCTCAGCTTGCAAGATTTGGCAGATAGGAACTATTTATCTCTCCAGTTTGATAGGCAGT